GTATACAAAGTCCAGTAGTGACCCTGTTCTGGCCTATCTGTGTTCTCACTTTCTGCCATTCTCCTCTGGCTCACTATACTGCCCATCTCTCTATTCCTCAAATGCCTTACCCTTACTTCTGATTCAGGACATTGACAAACATGGCCCAGAACTTCTACCTAGAACTTTCTTTTCTCTACTCAAATACAAAATAGGTGTTCAATAAATATTTGCTGAGAGGAAATTTAGTCGTCATCTCACTAGGGATGTGAAGGCCTCAGAAAAGCTCCAGGAAACACACTTGCAGTGAGTATCTGCTTTTCTTGACACTGCCACTTCGGCAACAGAATAGATTAGCTCCTTACTCTACAGCAGATCCAGCAATACACCCCAAATAAGTTAAGAGAGCCTAACACTGAAAATTAAAACATTAGGAAGCCTAGATGGAAATGAAATAGTAACTTTATCCTAAATGTGTAAGGGAAGAAGCAGAAAAGGCTATCAACAAGAAAGCAGACAAGAACAATTATAATAAAAATGAACTTCGGAAACAATAAGAATATGTTTCAAAGTAATAAGAAAAGCAATAGATTAAGATAAAATTGTCATTATGTAGATGATGCATAAAAGTTTACAAAAGAAAAACAGAAAACTGATATAACCCTAAAAAACAATTCTTACCCTTCTAGATAAAAAATCACTGACTAGGGATGCCTGGGTGGTTCAGTTGGTTAAGCGTCTGCCTTCAGCTCAGGTTGTGATCCCAGGGTCCTAGGATCAAATCTCACATTGGGCTCCCTGCTCTGTGGGAAGCCTGCTTCTCTCTCTACTTGTGTGCTCTCTCTCTCTCTGACAAATAAATAAATAAAATCTTTAAGAAAAAAAATCACTGACTAAAAATGGCCAGTTCACAAATAAGGAAATGAAAATAATAAAACAAGCATTTTATTAAGTACTTCCCATATGCTAGTCCTGAAGAAATAAACATGAAGATTCTATCTCTGTCCTAGTGGAGTTATATCCTAATTGGGAAGATAATTCTGTTTAGTCCTGTAACTACCTAAGTAAAAAACCTTAAAATTGGTTCTCTGAAACTAAAGCTAATCATTATGATTTATATAAATCACTATAATTTATTTAAATCACTATACAATGATTTACAATGCTTCACAATCACATTTGTGCATACTGTTTTCAGATCAGATGAATTTAGAACCATCGGTTGAATAAGACCGTATTCATTCAATAAGCATTTATAAGACACCTACTATATTCTAAATGAATAAAACATAGACTAGGTCCTGGTCCCAGGCCACAGTCTATCAGGGAAGGCAGATATGTAAATAAATAATTTATCATCAATTTGATAAGTGCTAGAGAAAAAAATAAACAAAATGCTATTAATAAGGACAGAGGAGGTGATAAAAAATCTTGCCTGAGGATGTCAGAGAAGACTTGTTGAAAAGAGGAAAAATGAGAGGAGAGTGATATTCCAAAGAAAATGACACAAACTAAAAAGGGGCAAAGGTAAAAAGTGTATAGTGTCTTCCAAAATTTACATATACTTTGATGTAGCTAAGGGCAGGTGGTGCACAGGGGTATAGCTGATTACTAGCTGCAAAGTGAGGCAGGTACTGGACCCTACAGGCCAGGGGTGCACATGAAAGCATTTGGACTTCAAGCAAGAGTGATTTGACCACATGTTGTATTTTTTAAAAAAACTACTCAGAAAATCTTGAGGTGCCTGGGTGGCTCAGTTGTTAAGCATCTGCCTTCGGCTCAGGTCATGATCCCAGGGTCCTGGGATCGAGCCCCGCATCGGGCTCCCTGCTCAGCGGGAAGCCTGCTTCTCCCTCTCCCTCTCCCCCTGCTTGTGTTCCCTCTCTCGCTGTGTCTCTCTCTGTCAAATAAATAAATAAAATCTTTAAAAAAAAAAAAACTACTCAGAAAATCTATATGGAGAAATTATTAGAGTCTGAGACTAGATATAGAGAAACCATCCAGGAGGAAGAAAGGTTTAAAATAAAAATGAAAAGAAGATGGGATGTGAGTGATACTAAGAAGTCAGAAATAACAGAACTTAATAACGAACTAATGGACTATGTGAACAAAGGAGAGGAATGAAAGTAAAATGGCCTCCTGGTCTGTACCTCAGGCAAAATGGTTATAGTGTCATTAACCAAACCTGGGATGGGAGAAAGGAGACAACATAAGGTTTTAGAAAATGTTCAGTTCCCTTCATAGTTAACAGAATTCAAATTTAAACATCCATGAGGCACAGTCTTGCATTAATTAAAATAGAGTAAATTAATAAAAATATAATCACCACTGTGGGGTACTGGGGGAAAAGGTATACTAATACATTGCTGCCCTACAACCTGGTGAAGTCGTTCTGAAAAGAAATTTGGCAACAAATATAAAAGCCATAAAAATTATCATGTTCTTTGACCCAGAAACACAACTTTTTGGAATATAGCCCAAGGATATAATTCAAAAGAAATAAAAAACCTATTTGTATAAAGATGTTTATAGCTGTGCTATATATTACAGACAAAAACTGGAAACAGCCCAAATGCCCAACAGTGAGGGAATGTTTAAGCAGACTTTGGTACATTAATGCAATGGGGTATTTTATTGCTATTAAGAATGACAAATATAAGAACTATGTAGAAATAAAAAAGGGCAATATAAAGCAATGAGTAAAAAATGCAGAACTCAAAATGATGCATATAGAATGATCATAACTATGTAAAATGATATCTGTATTACCAGGAGTATTGGAAAAGACTACAGAGTTGGTAATTTAGAGTGCTGACATTTTTGTTATTGTTGGTTGAGTTGCTGGGAATGTTTATGTGTTTCAAGTTATAATTCACTGTATATTTAGTACATACACATTAAGAAAGATATATCTCCACTTCTTTCTGGCACATAAAATTTTTAAAAGTGCTCATCTGTACCTTTCCTTTCCATAAGTGATTTTCTCTAATCTCTTGAGTCCTATTAATTTTTGGATGTATGGGGAAGTGGACTCCATCCATACTCCATGACCTTCTAACTCAATCAAATCCCACCCCTTATGGTCATTCATAGCACCATGTACCTTTCCTTGGTATTGTCTTAGTTTTAAGATCAGTTAATTAATGTTTACATCTCCCCTACCATATTGTATGCTCCATGAGGGCAGAGAAAGTATCTGTTTTTGTTTATTATTATATTCCTAGTTCTTAATGTAATACCCAGAACATTGCAGTTACTCAAGAAACATTTGCAGGGTGAATGAATGATTGACCCTGTAGGTCATGTTACTGAGAGGGCATTGTCAGTTCCATGAAAATACACTGATCAAACCATTAAAGAAAAAGGACAATCCAAAAGAATAGCTACATGGATTAAAATGATAGTTATTGGCCTTGCTTTATTATGTATTATGAATTATGAATAAAGTTCTATACATGTGGTTCTTATCCCTTAATTGTAACACATAAAATGAAATCAATCTCTCCATCTCCATCACACACACACACACACACACACACGAGTAATTTCAAAGTTCAGTTAAAGCATGCAAAAGGAAACCAAGAGCTGCATTTGTGGGTAGGGACCAAGGTCATGAAATTGCTGTGTAAAAAAAAGGGAAAGTTGCTCCTAAAAGAAATGGGGAGAAAAGAAAAGGGTGGGGAAAAGACGGGAGCTGAACTAAGGGCTTAGGAATTCTTTGTAAAAAGGAAAATGTCTAAAATTAAATTTTGGGTAGTTAATGTTGTTACAGTGCAGATCCATGTGCCTTCCCAAACCTTCAGTGATGTCTGCTATGTTCATTACCTTAGATCAAGACTAAGCCACCCTAAAAGGGAGGACAGAGTTATAAGAGCCATCAAGCCACAAGGGCCATCTTGGAGGTTGGCCAAAAGTTTCTCTCCTCTGATAATCAATATTTATCTAACCTCATTTGGAATGTATACCTCACTGGAAAATGTCTTACTCATCTTTCAATTTCCAGGAATAACCATACCTATTCCAGAGTATGACAGGATTGCACATGACAGGTGTGTCTTGGTGCATACTCTGTGCTCCCAGGGAACTCCTGATTCTCCAACTTCATAGTTCCCACCCTTTCTGCTCCAGTCACATCTCCACTTCAGGTCTTGGATCAACATATAGCTTCAGCCTTCCTCATACCATTCCCTCAGACATTCCTTCTGACTCTGTATAACTGAATCTAACCTGCATGGATTCAATCTGGGCTGGCCTACCAACACTATTTAACATAGTGCCTCATCCATACCAAGTGCTTAAAAAAGATTATTAGATTCAGTCAAAACTGATTAAATGTGGTAATAACTCTAATGCTTTAATCTACAAGTAGCAGTAGTGTTTCTCAACTTTTTAATCCAGCTATACTGGCCAGGGTTTTGTCAAGCTTTACTTTCTAGAAGTGGTCATAAGAATAGAGTAACAATATTTTGACTTTTAAAAAATATAAAATGTGATGAAATGCTATAATATTAAATGTGCTTTTTAAAACAATGTAATCCCTTCCAACCTGCCCAGGAGATTGTGATATCCTTCCCCAATTTCACCACCTTCTGCTGACTATGGAGGGCCTGGAGAGATGCAAAGCTCTTCTGCTGCTTGATGGAGAATCACTGATTTAGAACTGGGGAAGTCACTATGAAAAGTCTCTCCATCCTGGGCGCCTGGGTGGCTCAGTTGGTTGGGCGACTGCCTTCGGCTCAGGTCATGATCCTGGAGTCCTGGGATCGAGTCCCGCATCGGGCTCCCTGCTCGGTGGGGAGTCTGCGTCTCCCTCTGACCCTCCTCCCTTTCATGCTCTCTGTCTCTCATTCTCTCTCTCTCAAATAAATAAATAAAATCTTTAAAAAAAAGAAAAAAGAAAAAAGAAAAAGAAAAGTCTCTCCATCCTTCTTAAGACCACAAATAACCAGGAAAAATATAAATACATTAATTCATTACATTTATGAAGAGTCTTATAAGAACTGCTAAAAAATATGACCTACCCATCTAGGAGGGCGATGACGTTCTTCCTGGGTCTCCCAATATTAGGGCCATACAAGCTGGCTCTGGAGTAAATCCGGATGGGTTGCAACAGGCTCTTCAGCTGGATGTAATCCTTTCCCAACTGGCTGCCATTTACCGCCCGGCCATGCATGGTTCGATAGTTATTTGGCTCTAGATTAAAAGCAGACATGCAAGTCAGAGTTGAGAAGGGTAAGGCTCTGTCAACCCTTTCCTGTCCACAGATCTTTCTGCCTTTTTCTTAACAATGTGAATAAAATAACCAAAAAGAGAGTGTAAGCTAGTTTAACATGAGGAACCATCATAACAAAAAGTTAAGGGCCATTTTAGCATTCTACTCATTTTCAAACTAATCTTCACATAAGATCACCTAATCCACAAGAGAGAGACCATGCTGATTTTTGGGTGATACTTCATAATCAATGGTCTACTGGGCTGAATAGTGTCTCCCAAAGTTCATGTCTACCTGTAACTTCAGAATGTGAACTTATTTGGAAATAGAGTCTTTGAAGATATAGTTAAGATGAGGTCATATGAGATTAGGGTGTGCCCTAAATTCAGTGCCTGGTGTCTTTATAAAAAAAATGAACGGAGAGGGAGATTCAGGTACACAGACACACTGGGAAGAGGACCATGTGTCGACAGAGGCAAAGATTGGAAGAATGCTGCTATGCCAAGGATTGCTGGCAGCAGCTACTAAAAGCTGAGAAAGAGGCATGGAATAGATCCTCCCTCAGAGCCTCCAGAAGGAATCAACACTGGCAATGCTCTGATTTCAGGCTTCTGGTTCCCTGAACTGTGAGAGAATACATTTCTGTTGTTTTATACTACTGAGCTTATGGTAATTTGTTAGGAACAGGCTTAGGAAACTGATACAAATGGTAAGAAAGGAAAGTTTTATAAAGATGGCCATTGTATCAAAAAGAAAAATCTTAATGTTTAATAACAAAGTGGCTGGGTGAAATAATTTAGAGCACAACACCCTCCCTCAGTTTCTATTAACTTGGTAGTTCTAAAAGGGCAAGGAAAGTCCTAAAAACCAGCAACTCCACTGCTGGAGGGAGCTAACTTGATTTGGAATTAAGCACATGCTCCAGGTAGGGCAGATACCTTGGCTACCTTGAGGTTTTGTAGTGTCAAGAAATTGACCAGCAGACCTGCAAGAAATTTTACAAGGAGATTTGTGGAATAAGACAGACACAGTGGGCCTTGATAAGCTCACACATACGACACGCTTTCACTACTGTGTCTCCTGACTTAAAAATAGTTTATGTGGAGTTAATGTTACTCCCTTCACCATATTCTACATGGTTTCCTCAATGTAAAATGTCCAGCACATGCAGGACCATATCTCCATATGTGACCAGACCCACTAATTAAATATAAGTAACTCAGCTACTCCACTCTCAGATGGAAAGCCCCATTCTTGCAGATCTGTAATTTAAATGCATACCCCTTGTCGTCTGGAAGGCTGTGCATGCTCAGGAGAGACTGGAGAGGGCACTAACTATCCATGTACTCATAGATGAATGTGAAACCTAGCACATTTATAAAGGAGACAATGAGAAGGCATGCCAGAAAAGAAAAGCCAGTAAGAATTATAAACTGTTTAAATTTGGAATCTGTTCTCCAACTCACACACAGATCCACTGGCAAAGGATGGAAGCCTTACTGGTGCAAAGTAAGCACAGCCTCTAATCAATCATTGTCTAACATTAAGCTATGCTGACTCAGGGACAACCTCTAGGAAGCTGGCCTTAAGAAATGATTAAAAAATAGAAAAACTTAAGATATATCAGCATCTACACAATGCAAGAGAGACAGACTCTACAGAATTATTCCATATAAGTCACTAAACAAACAAACAAAAAAGAAACAAACAAAAAAAAAAAACAGCCTCTGGGATGGAGGATTCAGAATCCAGAGTTGTTCCAACATATTACCTAAAATGTAAATTTTCAACAACAACAAAAATTACAATGTGCAAAGAAATAGGATAGTGTGACCCATAAGCAAGTAAAAAAGCAGTCAACAGAAACTTTCTCCTAAGGGACCCAAATGTTAGACTTCATGGGCAAGGAATTCAAAACTACTATTATAAATATGTTCAAAGAGAGAACAGGAACAATAAAAAATTAAAGGAAAGTATGATTGTATTGACCAATCAAATATAAATGAAGAGACAGAAATTATAAAAAATTATCAAATGGAAATTTTGGAACTGAAATGATTTTCACATACAGAGGAACACAAGGAATTATCAGCTGAATTTTTACCAGAAATAATGCAGGCCAGAAGACTATAGGAGGACGTATTCAAAATGCTAAATAAAAAAAACGTCAGCCAAGAATTCTATATGTAGCAATCTATCCTTCAAAACCGAAAGCAAAATTTAAACCTTAACCAGAAAAACAAAGGAAAGAATTTGTTGTGAGAAAATCTGCCTTACAAGGAATGAGAAATGAAGTCTTTCTGTTTGAAAGGAAATGACACCAGATGGTGACTCAAAATGGCGCAAAGAAATAGAGAACACCAGTAACGGCAGTTGCATAGGTAAATATAAAAGACAGTTGAAAATATTCATTACTCTTTCCTTAACTAATTTAAATAGCAGTTACATAAAACAAAAATTACAAAACTGTATTGTCGGGCTTATGACATATGAAAACGTAATGTTTAGAATAATAATGGCATGAAGGAGGGGAAAATTGAGTTCTATCGGAGCAAAGTTTCTATAGTTACTTGGAATTAAGTTAGTATTATTCTAAAGTAGATTGTAATGAGTTCCTGTGTATTACAATAAGAAACTACTATGAAAATAAGTAAAACAAAATAAAAACAAAGAAATTAAAGTAATACCTTAGACAATATCTCTTCTGCATAAAAAAGTAGTACAGGAGAAACAGAGGAACAAAAAAATGAAATAAATGGAAAATAGCAAGATGGCAGATATAAATTCAACCATATCAACAATTACATTAAATGTAAATGGATTGAACACTCCAGTTAAAAGCAGAAATTGTCAGGTTGAATAAAAATCTAAGATCCAACTAAAGAGACAGACTTTAAACTAAAAGATACAAATAGGTTGAAAGTAAAAGGGTGAAGAAGATATGCCAGGCAAACAGTAACCATAAGAGAGCTGGAATGACTATACTAATATCAGACAAAATAGACTTTTTAAGACAACAATGTTTAAGACAACAATGTTACTAGAGATAATGTGGGGCATTTTATAATGATAAAAGGGTCAATTTGTTGGGAAGATATAACAATTACAAACATAGACATACCAACAACAGAATACCAAAATACATGAAGCAAAATTAAAGACAAAAATAGAAAAGCCAGCAATAATAGGAGACTTCAATACCACATTCTCAGTAATCATTAGAACAACCAGACAGAAAATTAGCACTGATACAGAAAACATGAATAACACTATCAGCCAACTTGACCTGATTGATATCTGTACAGTACTCCACCCAACAACAGTAGGATACTCATTTTTTTAGTGCATATAGAACGTCCTTCAGGACAGACCATATGGTAAGCTATAAAACAAGTCTCATCTATTTAAAAGGATTAAATCATATAATGTATGTGCCCTGACCACAACAGAATTAAAATAGAATTCAACAGAAAGAAATTTGAGAAATCTGTAAATATTTGGAAGTTAAACAAATAATCCATGAATCAAAGAAGAAATCACAAGGGGAATTAGAAAATATTTTTAATGAAATGAAAATGAAAATATAATGTGTAAAAACATATGGGATGACACCAAAGGCACAATCCATGAAAGAAATAATTGATGAGCTGTACTTCATTAAAATTAAAAACATTTGCTCTGCAAAACACAATGTTATGAGAATGAGAAGACAAGCCACAAACTGGGAGAAAATACTTGCAAAAGACACATCTGATAAACGACTGTTATCCAAAATATACAAAGAACTCTTAAAGTTTAGAAACAAACCACCTGATTTAAAAATGGGAAAAAGTCTTCAATAGACACCTCACCAAAGAAGATACACTGATGGCAAATAAAAATATGAAAAGATAAGCAAAATGAAAATATGTTCCATATATGTCATCAGGGAAAGGCAAATTAAAACACAATTAAGGGCACCTGGGTGGCTCAGATGGTCGGCCATCTGCCTTCAGCTCAGATCATGATGCCCAGGTCCTGGGACTGAGTCCCACACTGGGCTCCCTGCTCAGAGAGCAGTCTGCTTCTCCCTTTGCCCCTCCCCCCTGCTCATGCTCTCTGTCTTGCTTGCTCGCTCTCTCTCTCTCAAGTAAATAAATTTTTAAAAATCTTAAAATAAAAAAAATAATTAAAAAAAACAACAATTAAATACCACTGCATGCCTATTTGAATGGTCAAAATTTGTTAACACTGACAGCACTAAACACTAGGTAGAATGTGGAGAAACAGGAATGCTCATTTATTGCTGGCAGGAATGAAAAATGATATGGTCACTTTGGAAGAGTTTGGTGGTTTCTTACAAAACAAAATATATTCTTACTATATGATGCAGCAATTGTGCTCCTTGTTATTTATGCAAAGGAGTTGAAATTTTATATCTTCACTTTTGTCTACACATGAATTTAAAGCAGCTGTATTCATAATTGCCACAACTTAGAAGAATGAATATGTCCTTCTGTAGATGAATGGATAAATGAACTGTGGTACATCTACACAATGGAATATTATTCAGCACTAAAAAGAAATGAGGTAACAGCCATGAAAAGATATGGAAGAACCTTAAATGCATAACATTAAGTAAAAGAAGCCAATCTGAAAAGGCCACATACTGTATAATTCCAACTATTTGACATTCTAGGAAAAACAAAATTAGGGACAGAGTGAAAAGAGTAATGGTTGGCAAAGTTCAGGGACAGGAAGGAGGGATAAACAGATGGATCATAGAGGATTTTTAGGACAGTAAAAACACTTTTATGACAACATAATGCTGGATATATGTCATTGTACATTTATCCAAATCCAAAGTATATTCACACTAAAGTGAACTATAATGTAAATTACAAACATAGGGTGATTATGATGTATTATTGTAGGTTCACCAATTGTAAAAAATGCACCATTGTGGTGGGGGATGCTGACAGTGGGGTAGGCTATGCATGTA